ATAAAAATTTCTTTCGTTCTTTATGCTAGAACTTTCAAAAAAGGGAAAAATATACTTCAAAACAGCTACGTGAAGTTACTTTCTGCAGTGACAGTTTTTGAATATGTAAATATCACTTTTCAAACATACTTAAAAGACTTGAAAGTAAAAAATGAATATTATTTTAAACTATATCATAATAAGTAAATAAAAAAAATATTTTTAATTGTAGTTTCACTCTGATTTTTAGTTGGTGTTTCAAATATATCAATTTACAAAAATTAAGTTACTGACTCAATATTTAGTTATTGTAATGTTATAATTACCTTTCATAAAAGTATACACAGTTTTAGTAGCATTTCGTAACAAAAATTATATTAATGTCAAACTTCCCCAAATTCCTTTCCTTTCACAACGAATTTTTGAAATTTCACAACTCACTTATACTTTTTGTTTGAAAATAATCACATTTGAAAATTTTTGGTAGAATGCTTAATGTCAGAATAATATTTTGCATATTACACAAATATAATAGAAATAGACGCTTAAATGAAAACGAAGAAAAATAAAAATTGTAATTTTGCATATTATTTTTAAACACATTTCTGTAATAATTGTATTGCATAACATTACATAACAATATACATCATAATAATTGCATAACATTTAAGTATTTGTAAGTTTTTTAAAGTGTATTACATGTGATTTGTAATTTTTTTTATATACTTGTATGTGGTCCAGCAGCAGAATATATTAAAAAACTTAAAAATATATCTAAAAATTACAAATTTACATATTTTAAAGCAAAAAATTAAATGTTAATCATTAGCATGATGTGTATTCTTAATTACAGATGAGCATTCATAACTGTTTTTTCTCCGCTACTATCTGCACTGCTTATCTCACAAAATATTAATTTATTAACTGTTTTAAATTGGTACTTTGGCGAGATAAATCCAAGATTCGAGGCGAAAAGATAAGAGAAAAATAAATAAATAAATAAAGTGCTTGTTTAATTAATCCAGCAACCCTATGGAAAAAGTGGAACTGCCTACGGAGAGATTCTAATCTCTTTCACCTCCGAAAAGATGGCGCATCTGTGGGGCGTCATTCGTCTTCTCAAAACATGGAGGGTGAGGGAGAAAAGGGACGCTCGAAGGGAATAGAAGCCTAGGCTTAGGAGGGAGAAATTGGGGTGCACCATCCTTGATGTATGCACTGAATATATAATGTGCTCCCTGCTTGCGTATGCGTTGCCATGCGCTTTTTCGGAAAAACAGCGGAAAAGCAGACGATAAATCTTAGAATAACAGATCGCTTTTGGCCTTTTTATTTTATTTTTTATGTTATTTATTGGACATTTTAAGGTGTTTAAAGTACAGTAAAATACAAAGATTGCAGCGGAAAAAGCAAAGCGAATGTAGTTTTCAGATAATAATCGTTAGTGTAATCTGCTACAGATGAATGCTCACTTTGTGTATTTATAACATAAAACAAAGTATATAATTCATTCCTAAATGTGATTTAAAAACTTTTTTTCAATACAAGTAAGGGTGGGAATTAATTCAGTTAACTAGTTTTATAAAGCTCGTTTTTAGTTCTAATAAAACTATTTTGTTATTCATTTTATAGGTTTTTGTTTTAAATAAGTACATTTAATATATTAATCAAGAATAATTATATTATTCACTTAAACACGAATGCACCTTTTGTGTGTATATATATATGACATTAAACAAATAATATGTATTTATAATTAATTCCTAAATGTGTTTTCATAATTCCCATTTAGAACAAATAAGTGTTTGAAATATTTCATTGTTAACTTATGACCGGTTTCAGTTTAATAAATTTATCTATTTGTGAATTTGTTCGGTTTAATTAGTATTTATTAATCAAGAACAATTATTTTATTCAATGTTAAAGGGATACTCGCATGTAGAAAGAAATTATTTCATCTATACCTAAATGGGATTTCAAAATTAACAATCCAGAATAATTCTATTAATAATTAAATATTAAAAATTTAGAGAGGAAAAAGTGCACTTTTTATTCCTATCATAAAAAGTATATAAATAATTTCATTTTTAATACTTATACAGCTTTTATTATAATTAAACTTTTATTCGTAGCTAATTTGCTAACTCCTATAATTTCCTGGTATTAAAATAATAATATTTTTCAATTCACCGAATAATTTCTTGAAAAAGTCGCAAAAAATCAAATTAGCATTAAAGGGTCCAAACTATGATTACCATATTTCTCAGATTGCGACAAACCCGTATTTTTTTGGGGTTAAAAATCCTAATCCGTTGGAAAAAAAAAGGTATATTTATTTAGAAAGTACTTATTAGAATCTGATTTCGCAACTTAAAATATCGTCTGCACTTATTAATTTGCATATTTAAAGTTAGCCTCTCGAAGAATTAAGAATGAGTCCTAGAACGTGAAGATCCGATCCTTAGATCCAAGTTGGTCCGTTTTTTATTTTACGAACTGTATAATTTATCTTTCGCTCTACATGCAGATAATAAAAATAATGTAAATAAATTTGAACTAATGTACTTATTAGATTATAAAACAAATTACGGTGAACTTAAAGGAATGCAAAAGAGAAAAAAATAAGGGTAACATAAATTAATTTTGTCCTAACAGTTAAATGTTATTTAAAAACCAAAATTTGCTAATATATTATTAAGTAAATGTGATGATTGATAATGAAATTTTGAAATCATAACTTTGTTTTTATTGAACTTATCAACAAGCATATGGAACTTTTTCTCTTTTTTTAAAATTTATTTGCACAAATTTTTTAGCAATTAAATTATATTTAATTGTAATGCACAAGCCAAGCTTTCATAACGAAAAAGTCACATTCTGATCCTTTGAGAAAGACTGTGAAGTTATTCTGTAACAATAAGTTACTGTGCAGTAACTATTCCCTAACAGTAAGTAACTGTAAATCTGTAACAGTAAGTATATGTGCAGTAACATACTGTTACAGAGCTCAACTAAAAAGTTTTCCGTTTTTTTTTCTCTTTTATATTTTTACTAATCTATAATAGTTCAAAAGCTAAGATAAAAAGCTTTGTCGGCCACTTTTGCCCAAGAGCCGTAGGTTTGGCATGCCTGTCATTTTTACTGGCAAATAAAACTACTTATTGATTAACCTTAATAGATTAATTAATTTATTAAGGTTAATCAATAAGTACTTTTATTTCCGAGTTTTATTTGCATTTTATTTAGTTTATTTGCACTTAATTAATTTAAATTTTTCTCTAGTTAAAAAAAATAATGATGATTTTAACACTTTATTATTTCATCAATAATTCTACAACCATTTAACATTAACTAATAATTCATCACCTAAAATGCAAAAATGCGTATTGAATTATCATTATTTTGCCAGTAGAATTCATTGAAAGTGTTTACTTACAAAATAATAACTTTATCTCTGATTAAATATAATTTGTGTTAACGTAATCTATTTACGTTGCACTTTATAGATGAGCGCATGCTTTCAACATTTATGATGTAAATAAACACATAATTCTCATATTAAACCCAGATAAGCATGCCTTTTAAGAAATTATTAGCTCTCTTAAATGGCCTTTCAGTTATAAATAATTATTTTATCATCTCTTTCAGAGCATTTGTATTAATATAATATGAGCGTGAAATATTTTAAGGATGAATACACACTTTCTGAATTTCCATGATGATTCATATCATTCTTAACTCAAATAAGCGTTTTCATTAATTTATTGATAGTTATTAACTCAATTCACTTAAAACGCTCTTAAGTTCTGATAGAATTTCTATTTACTCATAAAAAGCCGAAAGAAATTTAAATAAGTAGTAAAATTACTTCTTTTTAGTTAATTGTATTATTATTAGGTTTTTTATGATTAATAAAATAAAGATACGCGTAAAGATGCAAGAAAAGGAATAATCCATAATTATTATTATAAAAAAATTTATTACCTATAATTTGTGAATAATAAATAAATAAAGATACATGTGTAGCATGATAAGTAATAATCATCTCAATTTTGATGGAAGAATTAGCTTTACCAAAAAATTAACCAAAACTGTTTTATTTGTAACTAACATATGGAACAATTCTTCAAGTCAATTTGTTTCATTTTAAATTGTTATATTATCTTCGTGTTATCTGACTATTTCCGTAAAATATCATATCTTTACTAATCAGCCTAGAATATAATACGAACATTTTTATTGTTTTAGAATATTAACATTATGAAATACTTTAAAATTAAAATCTACCGAAACTTTTCATATTTTAATAAATTTCTGCAATGATAAATTTGAGTAAATGCAATTTCTGCCTAGCACATAGAACTATTTTACGAATTTTACTTTGATATTCCACATTTATAATAACAATTATAATAACTAAACGGAGGGAAAAAAAATCTGGTAAAATTACCACTCTGTTATGGTAATAACATTTCTAGTAATAAAAAGAAAGAAAAAGCATAATTTTGGTCGATAAAATCAAAAATTTACGGCATTTAAACAGTTAATTTGCAATTTTTCTGTTCATATGGTAATGGTTTAACGGAAATTCTTGTTCTAAAAATTATAGTACTTATTACCACACGTTAAAGAGAAATACAAAGCTGAAAAGTAAATGGAATTTATGCCAGGCTCTTTAAGGTATCATAATAAAATTATCAAATTTTACAATATTTACCAAATTTTATAGCATTATTATAAAACCATATTCTATTCTTTATATTTATTGCTTTATTATTATTTTTTTTTATTATTTTTTATTAGCAAAGAGCTTGGGTAAAAATTACCAAGCTTTTTAGTGTTCCCACGGAGTGAGAAACATGATAAATTTTATCATATTCTGGTAGTTTTGATCATACTTTTTTTCTCAGTGTACAATCATAATAGGAACGTAATTCTTTAACAATGATCTTAATTCAATAGTTTTTGTTAAGCTTTTTTTAATTTATTTACAATAATAATTTTTTTTTCTTCACTTGCAGATAGAGAAAGGGAATATATTTCAGCCCTTCCAGATTTGATTGCTGTAGAGAATATACGTTAAAGAAACCAATATGGTATGTCTGACGGAACGATATTTTTCTTTGTATAGTGAAATAGTTCGACATATGTCTTGACTTTGCCCTTACACATAGCTAGTAGTTCTCATTAAACAAAATTCACTATTTAAATGGTTTTGAAAATTTTTATTTTTCTTCGTTTTCATTTTAGCGTCAATTTCTACCATATATGCTTATTTTTCGTATTTTTGTCTTTCTGCATTATTTGCTATTAAACTGGATAAATGTAATAAAAAACTATTTCCAAAAATAGAAATCAAAGAAAATTAAAAGTATTATTAAAATTAAAGGTATTATTAAAGTACATTAGAATAAAGAAAAAATTAAAATGTATTTGGAAGAAAGAGTAAAGTGAATAGTTACCTGGAAATTATATTTTTGTACGTTATTCTGTTACACAAGAGGAATAGTTGTTACAATTTAAAAAAATTTAAGTTCTTCTTAAGAGAACTTATTATTTAGTTAAAAAGCAAGAAATGTAAAAAGTTCTTTTCCGTAAAATTCAATTTAATTGTTGTATATCAATTAATTTTTAAAATAACATTTAGTTACAGTCAAATTGAAGTTAGGCTTAATTCGGGCTCAGTTCTTGTTTTCTCGGTTTTGCTGCCTTTGTTGGTGAGTTGTTGAGTCCAATAAAGGATATTAACTAAAAATTCAAAAATGATTATAAAAAAAAAATATTTTATATTATTTTAGCCCAATTATAAATTTTTTCATGTGCGAAGAAAATTTAAGTCGTAGAAAATAAAAAGAGAACGTTTTAAACCAAGTTTCGTGAAGAGTTGAAAAGTGAATTGTTAGTTTTTAATCAAGTTTTATCAATTAATATTATAAATTTGGCATTTCAAAGCTGTAATTTTATACATAGTTAATATAACTGTTTCTTTTGAGTATAGTTTTATGTTACGTTGAGTACGCTATTGCATATCTGTTGGATTCCATTCAAATTTTTCTGGGCTGCTTCATATAGAGACTTTTTTTATTCCGATTATCGAAGTGGATATATTTAATGGTTGTATAATTAAAGATATATTTAAATTTTTATTAAAAAGTATTATTTAGATAAGACTATTATATCCCAATGATGAAAGCGTAAGGAATTTAGAAAACTTTTAGGTGTTCTAAAAATCCTATTCATACAGTTGAAAAATATAAAAAGTTCTTTTCCATAAACTGCGAATTTATTCTCGCATAATAATTAATTTTAAAATACTTTTTATTGCATAATAATTAATTTAAATCGAATACATTTAATCATATCCTGATACAAATTCGATTACATTAAATTAGGACGCAGTTGCATTGCAGTTTTCTTTATTTTTACGCCTTTTTTTATGAAGAAAAAAATCTGGGGATTTTTAGTTCGTTGCTTTTTCTTCAGTTTCCTTTTCTTTTTTTATTTTTGCATCGTGTAAAATTAGAAAAAAAAACCCAACTGTGTTAAATTTTTCTATTTTTAATTTTTTGGATAAAAATTAAATTATGATGTTACAGGAATATTAATTTAAAAACAAGCATTAAAAAATTTTCAGGAAATATTTATAAGTAAAAAGGTCGAAGCTAATTAAACAGGGTGTTAATTTTAACTAGATTAAAAAATACGAAACAGTCTAACTGATTTTTAGATAAATTGATTTTTAAACAAATTTTTAGATAAATGAATGGATTTTTATCTCAGTTTTGTTCATGATAAATGTGGAGACACTTCCAGATGCAATGGTGTAATATTCATAAAATGTTTGCTACAAAAACTTGAGTTATATATATATTTTTCAATCGTAAATCGACAATGTCGGAAAAATATATGTTTTTTATAAATGTTTGGATGATAAAAAATTTTAGAACGATCAATTTTAAACGTATAAAAAATATTTTGATAATAATAAAAATTACATAGAATGAAACTGCAACTGATCAAATTTTTGATTGTATATATAAATCGCAATACGACATCATTCTAAGCATACCAACTCGGTAAAAAGTTTCGGATCAAAAGTACCATAAATTAATGCTTTACCGGAACATCTTACAGAACAAAAATTCTGATATGTCATATTTTCTGTAATAATTACCTTAAATTGCCATTTACTATCATAATTACCGTAAAGTCACTGAATCACTCTAAATAAATATTACAGTAAAAATTACTGTTCAATATTTTATGGTAATAATTGATTTTACAGTAAAATGGTTTCTACGGAAGATGCACCCAAAGGGCTGATACTCTATATTGTCTATATCATAAATTTATATGGAATATTTTTCAGTACATATTGTAATAGTGCATAAATATTGCATACTTACCTTTTCTTTTGCACGACCCTTTCTAATATTTATGATGGGACCAGAGCTTCTTAAACCCTAGTAGAACTTATATAAAAATGAAGCGTAATTGCAGTGAGGGGAAAAAATCATTGGCTTTGCAACATGAACATCGTGTAGATTTAGAAAACATAATTCCGATGAATCTTACATTATTTAAATTCAAATTAAGATTTCAGATCCCATGGTCGTTAAAAAATTTTTCAAATGTCATTCAGTTGAATTATGATTATTACACGTAGTGATTTGTTATAATTCCTCTTAAATAAAGAAGCAAATCCATTTTCTGATAAGAAATCTCTGTTTCAATTAAAAATGTCGAATAAAGTGAGAATTAAGCAAGCTAAGTTTTTAAAAACTGATAATTTAGTTCGAACAAAGTGTTTCTAATTATTTAAAAAACGTTCAATTACATATTTAATAGTCTATACTATTCAAAACGGAGGAAAATCAATGCATGCTATAAAATCAACTTAGAATTTTTATTATAATTACATTTCTTTGGAGATATTTTTATGCTAGTATTAGTTTTCGATTAGAAAATATTTATTATAAGCTTTATCAATTAATTCTCATCACGCTCCATACTGTGTCTAAAATTCTAATTAGTGAAGTAAGAAAAGAAAGCCACAATCGTGTTTTAATTAACAGAGAAACTTTTTTTTCATTAACCATGAAAGGCACCTTTGATAGGAACAATTAGCTATATGTTGATGGAGGATATCTTATCGATCTCTAATGGACGTGAAAAAGAAAGAAAAAGTACGAAAAGTGGAGATCACTTCGCCTTAATTAAGGGAGTGTTACGTCCAGGGAACCATAAATTTCCCCTGCGTTCCTGAACTCATCAGGCAGCCTAGTAAGCTAATTTTGTTCTGGAAATAAAATACCAGCATAAAAAAGAATATATATATTCTTTCGTTTCTTCATTTTTTTTCCTCTTTGTGTGTTGTATGTACGAATGCTTAAGAGATTTTTCACACGTGCAACTATAATATTTTTCTTCATCTTTTTTTGACAGCAGCCATCTTGGAACATGGAGTTGAGTTAGTCGTTCGTCAAGTCTGTGTTCGTATGTTGCCACCACACCTGAGCCCGACACGAAATTTAATTACAGAACATCGATTTCTCATTCGGGGGAGTCTCTGGTGACGTCATTAAATAACTCCCCTTCCACTCCAACTTTTGCTTGTCTGCTGTTTCATCGATTTCAAGAAATTACTATTTTTAGTGAAAAATGAAGCGAAGTGAAGAAGACCTGTGAATAAAAAAATTGAAGTTGATTCAAACTTGACATTTAAGACATATATGATGTTATGATTTACGTTATAGACTTTAATCACTTTAACGTTTAGACTTTAATGTTATAGATTTTACTAATTGAAAAAGGTTTCTATGTCAATAATTTATTTGTTTTATATTTTCATGAATTATTTTAGAAAATATGTGTTTACTATAAATCGAAGCTATTTCGTGTATTAATTATTACTTGCTCAACAGGAACATTAATATTATTTTAGATATGAAACATACATCATTTTTTCAAAATAAATAACTGAAACATTTTATTAAATATCTATGCATGCTCTCTTAAAGTTTATAAAAATATCTCTTAAAGTTTTTTTCAAAAAAAGAAAGAAGGAAAACAGGACAATGCAGCTTTCAAAAACAACTAAAATATAATAGAGCAAAGTATACTTGGGAATTACAAGAAAAAAATTTAGTAGTCATATAAAAACTAATAGCATTAGCAGAGTCATCCATTTAAGCTCTTTTTAAATATCTTCGTATCCCCCCCCCCCAAAAAAAAATGCTGGAAATTTGTGACTGCATATTTTAGGACACTTAGCGTATGTTTTAAACTAATAAATTTTGCTAAGAAAAAATTCGATCACATACTTAATAAATAGCTCTTTAAGGAAGTTCTTAAGACTTTAACTTTTTGAGTATTTCGTGAAACCTCAGTTTAAACATTTTATTTAATCCATAGTCCAATTATCCATTTATCCAATTTTCCATAGCAATCTATCATAATTATACATTTATTCTAGAGAGAAAAACTGCACCTAATATAATCTATCGTTAGTTTAAGGGAGACGTATTTTAAAATTTGTTTTTAATCTGCAACGTACGGCCATTTAATACTGTTACGTATTTCAATGGAATATGGATATACAGATTTTAGAGAATTAATTAAAGAGGCCAAAAAGGAAATTTTGGAACAATAACATGTTTATGCAAGTTACCAATTTATTTAGTTTTGTATTTAATTTTTAAAAAATATGTATTTTTGGACAATTATCTCTGCAGTTGTATGATTTTATCATAAATTCTTAATTATCAAAAAAACTAACAAATTCATGATCCTATAATAATCACTCAGCTAATATTTTGTTTCTAAAAATGATTTATTTCAAACGATGCAGTAACTTGAATTGTCACGTACCTTATTCAGTTTAGCATACAATAAATTTAAACCGTAAATATATAAATAAATTTAAATTTAATATTTTATTAATTATTTATAGGGTTGTTTAACTTCGAAATTAAATCAAGTAAAAAAATATATCTGAGGAAGTAATTCTCATTTAATTAGAAAATTTATTTTTTGAAAATATATCCTAGTTTTAGCAAACCTTTAATTGTTAGAAAACAACTCTTAAGAGATCTGCTTTAGTTCGAGCAATAGAATACCTTAAAAAATTAAAAATTAAATTATTATAACTTTATGTAGGGACAATTATCGTTGCGTTTGCACTATCATATCAACAAATCCTTGATTGTTTATCCTTGATACATATTCATCTATCTATTATTATTATTTAATCATATCATATTTTCTCTGAAATTTAAAAAAAATTCACGTATTTTTCTGAAATAAATTGTATTAACGCATATTTTTAGCGTTTTAATAAAACTATGAGACCTTGTCAACATAAATTTAATTCCCAATTCAAACCATCTTTTATTTTACTATAACTTATGGGCGAATAATAATTGTGAAAAATAACATCAAATTTCCAACGATTTCTGTAAAGTGGGAAAAAGAGACGCTAATGTGTCATTCATAACATTTAACGACCATTACTGTAATGGTCGTTTTCGGCCATTTCGGAGAGGAATCCTTTGACCAGTAGCCTAAAGATATGAAGGGTAATCTTGAAAGATGGCCTATCAGGGAAGGTGTTCTGGGGATGACACTTGCCAACCCCCTATTGTCAATTCTGAATGACTTTATTGAAGAGTGACTTATCACTCAAGAAATACGGATGTTTTTAACGTCTAGATTAGTGTTTAGTATTGAACAGTAGCTTCTTTATTTTGAAAACGGAAAATGTGACAAAAATTCGATTAAAATTTGGATTAATATTAGAAAAATTAAATGCGTAAGTATTAAATAGTAAGTAGTAATTGTTGATTTTTGAGTGACTTAATACAACGTTTACAAATAAAGGTGTTTGCAACATTTTAATGTTTTTTTGTTTAGATTCACAGTTGAAAAAAATTTAATTTAATAAAAATTTAGTTTAATAAAATGCTGTAGATATTTAATAATTTTAAGTTTAACATTTTATTAGAACTATTGCGATTATTATAGCGAAATATAAGTTGAAAAACGCTGCAGTTAAAAGCAATTATACCACAGTTGCTGAAGCTTTAATCATTTAAAAAAATTTTTTATTTAAATATTTTCAATAATAAGAACTTAACGAACCTTAATTTTAACATTAGAGATTCTAAATAATGTATGATGATGCATACTTTTTACGTTTAAAACAATTAACGGTAATAAAATATTTGCTTAAACTTCCTGTTACAACTAAAGATGAATTTATTGCTTTATTATAATTATTTTTGTTTGCTTGGTAAATAATTTTAAATACCTATTAAAATACATGAAATTATTTTTTTTACAAGTAAAATTTGATTAGTTACTCAAATTATTATGTTGTCCAATTTATGTTATTTTTATTTCATTCAGTATCTTAGTGTAACGTTATTATATTTTTTATTATGTATGTTTTATTCAATTTGATGTTTACTTTTGAGTGATAACAGTCAAAGCTGGAATAAATTGCATGGTTTAAAAATAATATCTTAAAGTACCTTACATTAGCGAAAGTTTCTTTGTTAATGAAAAAATATATTTGAAAATGCATTTATATTAAATGATTCATGTTATAAAGATTAAAACAAGGTGTAATGTTGTTTGATGCACTTTTTAACATGCCATTCGTTGATTGATAAAGTCGTTGTTATAGTTGAGTCGTTGTTATATTGATAAAGTCGTTGATGTGATATTTAGCGAATTCAAATGTTATATGCGCTTGCTTATCAAGATTTCAAAGACAAATATCCCAGTTATTATTATACTTTTCTCAAAATTCCAATATTTAAGGAAATGTTTGTATGTATAGACATTTCTTACTTATAATTTCCTGAATAAATTCATCGATATAATGCAACGTAATCCTTTCATAAAAGTATTCGCATGTGCTTTTCGGTCTTAAGTTTTGTTTACTAAGTATTTTAAAGTAAATGTTTTCTAATTTAAAGTTTAAGTTTTTTTTATGATAAAAATATGCTTCAAACAAGCTTTTTTTAAAAATATTATTTTTCTTAAAAATATAATTGTATTCTAATTATTGGCACATTTGTTCAAAAATGTCATTTTTTTTATTTATAAAGTAACAATTCAATTTAACTAAAAAAATCTCTTGTTTAATTTCGAAAAACATTTTCAGTTGGGAAAAAAAATTTGGTTAAAATTTTTTGTCCCAAATTTGCTACTTTTATTATCCTGGAAATTTTACGGTGTGTATTTTACAACGAATATTATTAATAACAAGATATTATTTCAGTCGGAGGTGATGACTTAAATCGAGACATAGTAATTAATAAAAATGCTATGGTTTTTCAGTTCATTTAGTTGTATTGATTATAATTAATATTTTAAAATTTCAAAATTTACATAGTTCTAAATTTAATTTAAAGCATGGCAACGTTGAAATAAAAACCTATCCTTCACGCATATTGATTTATTTTGCTTATGAGAATATTGTTTTTAGAATCAACGTTCGATTTAAAATTAATATGCATTTTTCCGCGTGTTAGAATACTTTATTGCATTAATAAATTTTTCATTATAATTATTATTTTTGTGAAAAATTTTGTCTTAAATTCACCATATAATTCAGCATTTACGCTACTAAATAAGGTAATTTCTCTCAAAGGAAAAAAAATGAGGAAGTTGATTATTTTAACATAAAAGAAATAAATGATATAGAAGTGTTTTATAAATATCAACTGTTTACAGCTTCTCTTTTACAATTTGTCTTCTGTATAGTTATGAATATATAATGAATTTCATGCATGTTTCGAAAACAAACATCCAGTTGTGAGTTAGTTGTATGTTTATTTAGATATTTGGTCAGTATTACTAAAAAGAGCTTAATTAAACTGTTTGTGATAAGTTAATGTTGTAAATTTTATTATATATATTTTATACTGATAGTTACGAATGTGTAATAATGTTAAATTTTAACACATAATAAATGCATTATGTATGATTTTTATTCTTCTGATCTGTTTTTGCTATTGTATCGAAAATATTCAAAGAAACGCAGTCACAAATACTTCACATGCACGAGTTAAAGTAGCGAAGAGGCTCCCGTTTTTTTATTTTTTTATTTAGACGCTGCCCTAAATATTTTTAGTTATAAGTGAGTTATAGAAATTTAGTTTTGAAAACTATTCATATGATATATAATGGTTTAGTAAAACTTTTTACTTATTTTTCTTTAATTCTGTCCAAACATGTAACTTGAAATCTTCATAAAAGCAGTGCATATTCGAACTCAGTTATATTACTTACTCATATCATATCAGTCATACCAGTATCATATCGTATCATATTAGCCATATTGTTAATCATATCATATCATATTAGTCATATTGTTTAACGTTGTTTTAGAAACAATTTTTTTTTAAAGGAATTAGTTACATTATTGAAATTTCATACTCGATTACACTTTTGCATAATTAGTGTAATTTGCATAATAATAGTGTTTTTTACTGTTTGTCTCCTGTTTTGCAATACAATTTGTCATACTACAATGCTTGAGTAATTTGAAAAATAGAGTATCAAGAATAATTTACT